TCGATCATGTAAATAGAATATTGTAAATTAAAGAATAAATTCTGTAGAGTGACTCCTGAAATTTTTTTTTTCAACTCCTACAGATTGAGGAGTAGTAGTCTATCCAAAAAATATATATATATATGGAAAAATAGCAAGGAATTAAAACCGAGTCCTCATTTCTAGGGGCAATGGATTGTGAGTCCAAAGCAATTTTGGACATGTTGACAAAATATGACAAGAACAGACGTTTCATACATCTAGTCTATTTATATATTGTGTTTCTTTTTTTTGGTAAGAAATTATTTGGATGAGTTCAGTTTCGATCACCATTACGAGTCAGAATATGCTTTTGAAACATAATTTCTTATAGTTTGGATCCGAACGCATATATTGTGTTTCACACCATATAAAATTACAAATGCATGCACATGAACATGAGATATGGGAGCCGCTACGTTTTGCAATTCACATCTTCACGGTTAAATTGATTCAATTGGTCAAGAGTCTCAAGACTTTCTATTATGTTCTATTGGTATATATTGAACGTAGTCTCTTCTCTTTTTTGGGTTATGTGTGTTTCTTATCCATCATGCTAACATTTGATTTTGTCCCATATTCCCTTTGTCCCATGTGGGCTTTTAGTGAATACTTCATCTCTTGTCCAAATTAACCCAAAAGCCTATCACCAAGAATTGGATCAAAGTGCAAATTAATTGACTATGGCGACCAAGAATGTCTTGTAATGTACCAATTGATTCGAAGTTATAGCAGAAGAATGCCAATAATTAAATGATGATTTCAAAGAAGTTTGCTGGGGCTTAATCCGTGTTAACTTTGATATGTGTCTTGTGCGTGCATTGCAGATTAATTTTGTCATAAGTTTCAAATTCCCTATGAAAAGAGCAAGGGATAATTTCAAAAACATTCCTTAGGGTTTCTAACAATTTCACTTAGCTTTTCTAAGGTTTAAAAAAAATTACAACTACTTCCCTTACCGATTTAAAATGAGTATACTAACTTCAATATTTTAATAAACCTCTTTATGTTTATAAAAAGGATGGATTTTATAATATTTTCCTTTTTCCTTCTTATTCATTTCTCTTATATTTCATTAAAAATATAGAGGATCCATCAATGCTATTCTTAACCTCTATCTTGATCAAATATTTAACTAGTAATATTTTTTTGATAACTTTTAATATCATCCATTTTTTCCATAGCTTTTCTTTGTATCAAAATAAAAAATCGATCAACAGTAATAAAAATAAATGGCCCAAAATGACTATCAAACTATGATAGTTCTATCACTGAACTAATCTATAAACTTTTCTTCAAAGAAAAAAATAGTCCATAAACTTTAAAAAAAAAAAAGGTAACATTTTCTTCTTTATCTTAAAAGGAATCTATATCCCCAATATAGCACTATGAAAAGTAGCCTATTATATCAAAAGATTTATTATTGTAGTTGATTATCAAATAATAAGTATTGGCAAAAAAAACTTGACACTCATTCTTTGTATAATTGTGTCAAGTTACTTTATAAATGTTTAGAAGAATAAATTAAACTTTATAAGATAAGGACATTTTAGGATATTTATTAAATTTCTAGCCCTATTTTAAGGTTTGATTACCAAAATATCAAATTAAGAGAGATAAGTATAATTTAAAAAATTTTGATGGAACTAAGTTAAATAGTCAGAAATCTCAAGGTAGGTTCCTTAAATTATCCCAACGAACAAAGCTGCCCATGCATAGGAATTTTCGTCCTACAGAAAATTTTAGCGGCTCTTTCGACCAGGAAATCCAATCTATTCAATGCAAAAAAGTTTTCTAATCTGGCAACGTCACAAACACTATTATTGGCTCCGTTTGGATTAGCTATTTTTTGGGTTATTTTTCAAAAACAGCACTGTAGCATTTCGTTTTTGAAATACAAGTCCGTTTGGATTAGTTGTTTTTGGAGTTGTTTTTCAAAAACTATATGAAAAACTTTGATTTTGAGGGATGTAGCAGAATAAATAAATACCAAGGACAAACAAAGGTAGCGAAAAAGTGTCCTAACATTTTTTTAAATCTTTTTTTTTTAAGTGAGATTACTTGAACACAAAATCTCTTATTTACAATCCTTCCCACCTAATATAATTTATATTTTGATTAATGGCAATATATTCCTTTTCAAGGAAAATTTTGACATTTTGCTCATAGGTAATTAAGACACTAAACGTAGCTCCGTTTGGATGAGCTATTTTTGGAGATATTTTTGAAAAATTTTATTATAGCGGAGTTTTTAGAGTATATTTTAAAATATTTTTAGAAAATATTTTGGAATATTTAAGAGTAGTAGAGTTTTTAAAATACATTTTGGGATATTTTTTAAACATTAAAAAAATTTTAGATTATTTTTTAGAGTACTTTTTAAAATTTTTTATAGTATTTAAAAAACTAGTTTTCAAAAACAAAAGATCCAAATAGAAAGCCCACTTGTGGTTACAAGCAATGCTTGAGTACACTAAAGCCCACTTGTGCAAGAGCAAATGGTTGCTTCAAATATTCAAATCCATCTTCGAAGGGATTTTTTTTTTTTTTTTGGACTGGACATTCTAATATGTGGTTCGACGATACTCAAAACCATTAGAGGATTAGCTACTTTACATGAATACTTCGTGGTAGGCCTAATCTACCTTATATGAATACTTCATTGAAGGCCTAAGCTATGTCAGAGTAAAATGCCTGCTTCTTTTTAAGCATCAAAATAAAATGCTTCCATCTCTTAAATCAATTACAATGTAGTACTTCAACGAAGGTAATAGAAATCTCTATGTAGAATTCTGCACGAACTGCATTAGATCTATTTCGAGTTGCGGTGCATTTACAAGAAAATCACTTTTAAATACTAGCAGTAAGTATTTTTAGGGTATTTGATAACTAATTTTTCGAAACTTAAGTAGTCCAGTTTTTGATAATTTAAAAGTACTTTTATTAAAAACACTTTGTGTCAGAAGTGCTGCTTTATAAGTCATCACAATTCCAAATATGGCCTTAGTTCAAAATGTTTCCTCTCGTTACCTATATAAATTGGAAGTCTCCCTCATTTTTTTTCAATTTATTAATGGGTTTTTCTAACGAGTATTTTTAGAACACTCATTAACACATTTAATATTCAATTAACCTATCCCATATATATATACACAAACATATTAATAATAATTATCTTCTCTTATATTTATATATTTTTATTATTTAATCTTGCTTACCCTCTCTTATATTTATTTATTTTTTAATTAATTTTATATTTAAAAAATAACACTTGAAATATATCTTAATAGTTCTTTAATTGATTCGTCAGCACTTGATAAACAAACCGTTTACTCATTGGTCAGCTAATCAAGTTTACTGATCTTTTTTTTTTTTTTCAGCAACGATACATTTGTATAACCTACTCTATCCTAATCTAGGGGGAGGGGGAGTCTAAGGAGGCTGTTGTATGGGCTAGTAGGTATAGTGAGATTTAAACCCTCACCAACAGCGCAAAGAGGGACTTAAGTCCCCCCCTGCTGGCTTAATCAAGTTTATTGATCTGTTATTGATGCAAGAAAGAGAATGAAGATGCCAGATGCTTCCACGCCCCTAAATAAGCAAAAGCAAAGTACCAAATCCAGCGGCGTCGGCACTCCCAATTGTCTGATTTTCGTTCTGGAAACAAATAAATACACAAATATATAAATAGTAACCGACACTTTCGCATGTGGAATCAGTCAGCACCTCTTACAACAGGTCAGCAATTTCGCGTTAAGGGTCGCTTTTAGGTCAATTCGATAATGATAAAATGATAGATGTTTACGCACACTTACCGCTTCTGTCGGTGAAGTGTAAAGAAATCGCGTAGTCGCCAACCAAAATCCAAAACCCACATTCTAATTGGATTCCTTTCCACGCGTAATTAATTTCTTAATCCTCCCTTCTTCAGTCTCGGAGAGTTATTTTATTCCTCCCACTTAATCATCCCTTTCTTTGTTGTCTCAAATATTAATCGTTAACCAATTCCCTTTAGAGGAGATGGCCACCGTATTAATTAATTGTGAGGTGAGAGATCAAGAGTTCAAATTTTGTCTCCCATCAATGTGCCTCTATAAGAGGTTTGTTCTAAAATTCACACGGATGCGTGGTGCATTCGTCTGATCTGATAGTAATTCAGTTCTTGTCAGATTTTTCCGACTCAGTTGGACCATCTCATAGAATTAACTCCACCTCTTAGAAGTAGGAGTATATTAGGCTAGATTAGATGTGCTCGTTATGTAAAAAAATAAAAAATAAAAAATAGCCGTTGGGTATAGAACAGCACGCTAGAATTAACCGCAGCAGCCTTTGAAGCCAAAAAGTTGGAGTGCACCCTAAGCAATTCCTTCACAAGCTAAAGCTATCTTTCAACCTCTCCTAATCACTTTTTGTTTCTTTTCTCCCCTTTGTACCATTAAGTTCACGGGGAACATAACATGATATAAAGTGTACGTATGGATAGCTTTTACTCTACATTATGAATTTTTTTTATTTTTGAGAATGTCATTCAAAAATCACCTTTATCTTTGACACTTATTGATTCAATTGATATTCAACGTGTAAGAAGGGTGTGTCAGAAGATAGATACAACCACACTTAAGTTAATTTTTTGCCATATGTGATGCAACCACCACAGCTACAAAATAAGTAATTTACCTGATAGTGTAGATAGATCAAGAAAGTGAATTAGTTGGAGAATTAGGTAACAGACCCAAGAAAAAGAGAAATACGTACAAAAGATTGTTAAATTATTAGCCAAAAAATAATCAGTGGACAGATGGGAGTTGTATTGTGTTAGTGTAATAATGAGTGTTAGGAGGAAAGTTAGACAGACTGTCTTTGTCGATTAGTGGACTCGTCACTCTCGTCCACCAAATGCTGTACCTTTCCTCCAGGGACACTTCTCCATTAAAATAATCCAAAAAAGAAAGAAAAAATGCCACCGAAAATACACAACAAAAAACAGCTCCATCACAGCCCAAAATCCATAATTGCCACTACTTCTCTCTCTATCTCTCACTCGACAGTCTGCCCCCTTCAGTAATACTTCCCCCTTCCAACACTCCCCAGCGGCACAAGTCCAAGGCAGTCATCCAAAATCTGCAGCATTATTGAGTAAAAATGAGTATGTACGGGAGGGATCCGTGGGGTGGACCGCTGGAGATCAACGCGACAGATTCAGCCACAGATGATGATAGGAGTAGGAATTTGCAGGATTTTGATAGAGCTGCGCTCTCGCGGCCCCTCGATGAAACCCAACAGAGTTGGCTCTTGGGTCCGGGAGAGCAGAAGAAGAAGAAGTATGTGGATCTGGGTTGCATTATCGTCAGCAGGAAGATCTTTGTTTGGACTGTCGGATCAATTCTTGCTGCTGGCTTGTTAGTTGGTTTTATTACTTTGATTGTTAAAACTGTCCCCAGGCATCATCATAAAGGCCCGCCCCCGGATAATTATACTCTGGCTCTTCACAAGGCCCTCATGTTCTTCAATGCCCAGCGTTGTAAGTGTTTCAGTAAAGTTGCGATTTTTTTGGGAGGTTTTTTGCTATTTTTTCTGTTTTTTCTTGTTCATATGTTAAATGGGTCTTTAGATCCGATCAATGTTTGAGTTTTTGTTTCGGAATCTTTGATTTGTAAGGAATATACAAAAAACTGTTTTCTTGGAAGAAAAAAAATACAGCTGGATTATTGTACTGAATTATGTGGTAGTAATAACACATAATTCAGTGTCGGTGGATTAGTGTAACGTTGATTGTGTTTTTGTACTTATGTACTTCGGTACTGTCTTTTCTGTTTGGACAATTAGTCAATTAGGATCATCACATTTCAATGGATAACTAATTCTTTAACTGGTATTATTATGTCCCGTGTGCGAGACCTTTTGGCTTTAGCTTCCAGGAGAACGGTATTTTAATGTTTCCTCTGATCTAGTTGCAGTTTTTTACTCTCTAGAAATGGCAACTATGGGAACCTATGTGGATATCCGTGTTAATCAGCCGATCAGCCTGATCGGCATGGTTTGTTGCCTTATCAATTTAGTACGTTAGCTTCATACTTCCTAATTCCAGATATTTTTGTTGACAGCTGGGAAATTGCCAAAGCATAACAATGTGTCATGGAGGGGGAACTCATGTTTGAATGATGGCAAATCTCAGTCGTCTTCAGCTATTAAAAATCTTGTAGGCGGTTATTACGATGCAGGGGATGCAATCAAGTTTAATTTCCCTGCATCGTTTGCTATGACAATGTTGAGCTGGAGTGTGATTGAGTACAGTGCAAAGTATGAAGCTGCTGGGGAACTTGCACATGTCAAAGAGATCATTAAATGGGGCACAGATTACTTCCTTAAGTGCTTTAATTCAACTGCTGATACTGTAGATCGTCTTGCATCACAGGTATGTTCCTTTGGTTACGAATCTTTGGGAAAACTTTAATCTTTTGACTTTGCGCTAAATGTAAAGTATCGGTTCCAGTGCATGTCTTATTTGTTATGCTTCATCCTGGCCAGCATTATTCTACCTGTAGCATAAGGCAAATTATATCCTCTCTCCCACAGAAAAAACGTCTGTGAAATTATATTATTTTACGTTGGCCATGGTTTAATGTATTTTCCATGCAAACGTGCTTGATCGGTCTTTTCAAAGTCACTTTAACCATTATCTGTTATTCAGAAATTTCTTACGTATCTTCACCTTGAAAAATCATATATGGACTTTTACACCATTCATCTGACAGGTTGGAGTTGGTGATACGTCAAAAGGGCCCAACCCAAATGATCATTACTGTTGGATGCGCCCAGAGGACATTGATTATGAACGGCCCGTATCTGAATGCTCCAGTTGTTCGGACCTTGCTTCTGAGATGGCTGCTGCTCTAGCATCAGCATCCATTGTTTTCAAAGATGATAAAGCATACTCCCAGAAACTGGTCCATGGTGCCAGAGCACTGTTTGATTTTGGTAGGCGGCAGCGTGGAAGATACAGTTCTGGTGTTGATGCTGAAAAGTTTTATAATTCTAGCATGTATTGGGACGAATTTATCTGGGGTGCATCCTGGCTTTATTATGCCACTGGAAACTCATCGTATCTTCAGCTTGCTACAGCTCCTGGTCTGGCTAAGCATGCTGGTGCTTTTTGGGGAGGCCCAGATTACGGGGTATTTAGCTGGGATAGCAAGCTGCCTGGGGCACAGGTAAATTCATGGAGCTTCTTACTCTCTACATCAAGTAGTCTGTAACTGGATCACCTTTTTTCTTGCTGTGTTAATCCAAGAAACAGTTGCATGTGGGTTATCATGAGATGTGTCAACTATCGAGTTAATTTCAAGTGAAAGATAATGGTTTTACTTCCCACTACCTCGTGTTTTGATGGTCCTCAATCACCTTTTTGATCAGTGTTCCAGTTTTCTTGGCATTTGTTTATTACAATCTGAACTGCATTAGTCTTTATGTGTCACTACTAGGATTGTTTATGCTTCTAATGGCCTCATACCTAGAATGAAAATTTCTGCCCGAGAGTAGATAGTGCGCTCTTGCCACAGCATACATAAATTTTGTGCCCCCATTAGGATGTTCTCTGCCTTCTTAGTGTAAAAATGGTAGCATTGTATCAATGTTTCTTTAACTGCTTACAGCTCTTTGACTATAAATTACCTACTTAAAGAGTTATAAAGACGCTTAACAGATTAGCTTTTTGGCACCTAAGATTTTCTGATTTTCTTCTTCCTCGATGCTTTTTCTTGGATCTTTTTTGTCCTTTCGATGGTCTGTGTACTTGTACCTGGGATTTCTTCTGTGCTTCCCTTTTGTTCACACAGTTTGTGCATTTGACAGGCACTATAAAGTGATATTGCTACCAAGTAGACTTGCTTTTTATGGCTTGATATTGCAGCCCTGATGACTTCTAATATCTATAACTCTTCTTTCGATCCGATTGTTGCGTTGTATCTATTTGCGACGATATTTTCCATCCAAAAGATGACTTAGCTCACAAATGTCACCTGAAACTCTGAAGATTAGTAGAAGAAAATTAGACTAAATTCTGAAGATTGATTGAATAATATTATACAAGTCTGGTTATTGAGCTTAAATTTGAGGCTTTTTGAGATAATGTGGCTACTTATATTGCTGAATTAATTTTTAGCTTTTACTGTTTAGGTGCTTCTTAGCCGTTTGAGATTGTTTCTAAGCCCTGGCTATCCCTATGAGGAAATTCTGAGGACATTTCACAACCAGACAAGCATAGTCATGTGCTCATACCTGCCATTCTTCACATCTTTTAACAGAACAAGAGGTAAACATTTGTAAGGGATTAGTATGTTAATGGTATATGTTTAAGAGCCTGGGCTCTGGTTTAATTACTTTCTATCTCTTGCAGGAGGTTTGATCCAATTAAACCATGGTAGGCCTCAGCCTCTTCAGTATGTGGCCAATGCCGCTTTCCTGGCTGCTCTGTTCAGTGATTATCTTGCAGCTGCTGATACCCCTGGGTGGTATTGTGGACCCAATTTTTACTCCACAGATGTCTTGCGTCAATTCGCGGAAACCCAGGTACGTTATACTCCCTTTCTGTCCGACTTAATTGAGGGAATGCTTGTCTTGTCAAATCTTTTCTCTGCATTTTGTGATCTGTGCGATACTGGACTACTTAATGTGAATTCCTTGTGATTTATGGAGATTGTAACAGTAATTTCCTGCCATTCTGACCACTAGGCAAGAGAAAATTATTAAAAGAGTCCAATAAGTGTTTTAATTTGTTGAAACTAAAAAAAGTAATTTTTTGCACCTTTTTAGATTGATTACATCCTCGGAAAGAATCCTAGAAAGATGAGCTATGTTGTGGGTTTTGGAAATCATTATCCTAGACACGTTCACCATAGAGGGGCATCAATCCCGAAGAACAAGATCAAATATAATTGTAAAGGAGGATGGAAGTTGAGAGATTCTCGGAATCCAAATCCAAATACTCTGGTTGGAGCCATGGTTGCTGGTCCAGACAAGTTTGATGGTTTTCATGATGTTCGTACCAACTATAATTACACAGAACCTACGCTAGCAGGCAATGCTGGTCTTGTTGCTGCCCTAGTTGCTTTATCTGGTGAAAAAAGTGTTGGAGTTGACAAGAATACAATATTCTCTGCAGTCCCGCCTATGTTTCCAACTCCACCGCCTCCACCAGCTCCTTGGAAACCATGACTTTATCCTACTGACATCATTGCTGCCGCCTGTTCTGTGACCTGTAGATTGTAATTTTTGATACTGCTGTCAATTTTGAGTCTTGGATATGGTGGAGGTTAAAGCAACATGTAGGAGATGAGGAACATAACGAAAACCTTGAAGACAGCTTTGGTGGTCCTGACAGAAAGGGACTAAAAGCTTGAAGAAGAAACAAACAGACATCTCTTTTATTGTTCCAGAAATGTGATTATATACAATATGTACGTATGTAAGATATATGAGATCGACCATGTATTCATTGAAACACTAGAATTTGAAGATGAACAGTCTGCTACCAATTTGTTGAAATGAACTTTCACAATGGCTAAAGGGCCACACATTCTGTTTTGCTATCTTTATAAATCATGTCTGTAGCCTGAGAACGAATGCATATCCTGCAAGTGATTTCTTGTGCTGTGTGGTGTTGCGCGGACAAGGTGGCTTCCTACTCCATGCCCTATTTTTGCATGCATGAAAGGCCACTAGAACTCGATAATGAACTGAATCATTTTCGAGGCCCACTTTAAACTCAGATCTGTTTGCTTGGGCTTCCAAACTTTGTACTATTATAGAAGGGTAGTTTTTGTTGGATACAATTTAAAACTAGGGATAATTTCAGAAACCTTCCTTGAGGTCTCTAACAATTTCAGGAAGCTCTCCTTAGGTTTTAAAATTTTCACTCACCTCCCTTGCTTTAACTATTTATGCTTCAAAATAGGCTCAATAGGTTACCAATTCCCTCAAATATCCTAAACTACCCTTCTTGTCAAAAAGATGAAAAGGAAAAATGTAAAGAGCTTTGTTCCTTTCTTCTAACACCAAAACAACAAATTCTTTCCGTCAAAAACAAAAATTTGGAAAAAAATTTCAACTATGATGATTGCTTTCTTCCAAGCAACACTACCACAAAAGCCAAGAAAATACCCCAATTTAAATCAAAATAAATTCCAATAATTCTAGCACTCAAAACACTACAAACCTAATTTATGTCCAATAGTCCCAACCTCTACATTTACTACACAAGTCAATTAAATCAGTCACTTGGTGCTAAGTTAGATAAAACTCGATCTCAAATTTTATCCAAAACTAACACTTCATCAGCAATCAATAGCGCAGCTCTTTCATCTTCCTCTCTTTACAGCCTCTTTTATTTTTTTTAACCACCCATTTCTAAAGCCCAATCATCCCTCAAATTCTTGACTTTTGACATTACTAAGTTTTATCACCCATAATCAACCAACATTGGATAAAATAGATATACGCAGAAAAATCAAACCCATTACACTTAGAATTAAAAGGATAACAAGATTGAACCTAATCATATTTGCAAAAAAGAGATGAGAATAGAGATAAAAAAAAAAAGAGGAACAAGAAGGGAAGGAGAAGGATAAATACGGGCAAGGGATGATAAATAAAATTTGGTCTTGAATTGGAGGAAAAATATTAGGTAGAGAGGAATGGGTGACAGGAATTTAGCAAAAAAAAAAAAGGAAAAAAAGAGTAAGGTAGAAAGGAGGAAGCGTGAGGAAAAGAGAAAGATAGAATAAGTCAATTTTGATTTTTCTTGGAATTTCTGAAATTTTCGAAAAAAAAAATATCAATAAGTATCCTATATAGGGGTAGTAGAGTACTTTTGCAGCAATAGGGGAGGTATGTGTAGTTTTGAAATATTAAGGGGAGCTTTGTGAGATTGTTAGAAATCTCAGGGAGGTTTCTGAAATTATCCCTTAAAACTATTAAAGCTATAAAATCAATGTAAGGGCGTACTTTCTTTCTTTTTTTTTTTTGTTTTTGTTTGGCGTCAAAGTATAAATGTTACTAGTATTTGCTACAATCAAAAGGGAGAAAAAAAAAACAAATCATTTCTTAATGTCAACACCATGAATCAAATTGCACTAAAAACTTTTTACATTTTCGTGAATGTATTTCTCAATTATGTTATTACTTGACATAATCAAATTGCTATATTATTCAAAATGTCCATCACATTTTATAAAATGATTTTTTTATCTCTAATTTTTAAAAGTGTAATTCTGCGTCTCTTATCAATTCACATTTGTCAAATTTGATTTCTACCTATATTTTTGACTAATTTTTTATCGAAATTTATCATGTGCTTTGCATGTGATCATTTTTAGGGACAAAATTAACAATCAAATTTTATATAATCCGATCTATAGTCATTTGTATTTCACAAAATGAATTGTTTCGTTCCTCATATTTCACAAAATAAATTTTTTTCTTCTCCTGTATTTCACAAAATGAATTTTTTCATCCTTCATTGACCATGTATACAAATATTTTTCTTAAAATTCATGTATATATTTATTTGATTTCATCTAAACAGTACGAATATTATATAATAGATCTCTATTTGATTTCACCAAAACAGATTAATTGTAGTTGTATATATACTATTCAATAGATAGATACATTGGTTTAAATCTAACAATTTTGTTTTAAACCCATATATATATATATATATATATATATATATCTATTTGATTTCACCATGTAAATCTATTCAATATTTGCAATCTTTTTTTTTGTAATAATTCATTTATTGAGTTGTATAATAAGGTCATCTAATTAATCGGTCATAACTCGAATTTCATAGTTATGCTAATAAATTACAGTTTAAATCTGAAATTTTTACTCGTCACCTTTAAGACCAACAGTTGAATTTTTTATCTTGTGATTGTTTTAAAATTTGAAAGTGTCAATCACTTATTTCTTTTTGTCATACTTTTCCTTTGTTTATTTTTTATGTCCAAATTTAATTCAATGTAAATACTTGATAATGGTTAGAATTAAATATCTTCTTTGTTTTCAATTTTCGAGAAAAATGAAATGAACATGATTGAAAAACTAACAATTTTTTTAAACCTCTACATATATATCTATTTAATTTCACCTGAATAGTATGTTCAGATGAAATATGTAGAGATATATTACATGTTATTCGTATTAATCAAGTGAAATTAAATAGATATATATATGAGTTTAAAAAAAAGTTATTCGTACACATGATCAATGAAGGATGAAAATTTATTTTCTAAAATATGAGGGATGAAAAACTTCATTTTGTGAAAATGTGAGGGGTAAAACAATTCATTTTGTGAGATATGATGGACGAAAAACTTCACTTTATAAAATGTGAGGGACTATAGATCGGATTATGTAAATTTCGATTCGACAATTTTGCTCTTAAAAAATGATTAAGTGCAAGACATATGGTGGATTCCTACAAAAATTAGTTGGAAATCTAGTTAGGAACCAAAATTGACCAATATGAATTTGTAAGGAATGTAAAATTACATATTTAAAAGTAAAAGTATATTTTTAAAAGTGATGGACGAAAAAAGTCATTTTACAAAATATGGGGGACGTTTAGAATGATTTTCTTCAAAAATGGCAAACCAAACAGGTAATAAGTTTGTGACCATAAGCAAAGTGAAAACCAAATCAAATTATTCTACTTGAATTAATTTTAGTTTTCTTTTTTGGTAAGTGGGAAGTTTTAAATTAGGTATTTCTCACTTATACTCTCTCATCCGTACCATTCAACCCTTCGTTCCCCAAATTAATTCCAATTTTATCAAATCTAGTTTCATAATTTTAAAATTTTCTAATTTGTTATTCTAACTACCAATCGAAAAAAAGTCGCTCAATAATACCAAAATATCATTAAATGAAAAAAAAGTCGCTCAATATTCTGTCATTGAGACGGATTTCCGGATTCCGCAAAAAATGTTGCTGAGACGGGCCTTGTAGCTTAGGGACAAAGTGTACCATTTTGAAGTTTAGGGACTGAAATGGGATTTTGTGCATAGTTGGAGGGGCTAAAGTGGAATTAACCCTTCTCTTAAGAATCGAAAACACATATTCTCCCTCCCACAGTCTGCACCGCAACTTCCTCTTCCTCCACCGTCCGCCCCACTCCCCACTTCCCGCCGCCGCTCTACGCCTCTTTACATCTCTTTTACACACAGTCACACAGTAAAACGAGCCCAAACTCACATGCTATATCTTTTTCTGAAACCCAACAATCTTCCCGAAGTCCAATTACTATAGAAATCCAAGAGCAAACTAGAAGAGATAATGGTGGGACGGTCATGTTTAGCAGGGATGGAGGTCCCAATAATCGGCAGCGATTCTATCAAGTGGTTTCAAGTTTCAGTTCCGTCTAATTCATCTTCTTCGGCTTCTTCGACATCCGCTCCTGCTACTACTCTCAGTAGAGACTTCGCGTCCTGTTCTGCTATTGGAAATCCTCCTACTTATCTCATTTGGTAAACCCTTTTGCTGTGGCTTTCAAAAATTTGTGGTATTTTGTTTTTAGATTTTCGTATAATTTGCACACAATGTAGTTTTGCATTATCATTGTGCATTGGTTATTTTAGTTAGTTCTGAAATTCTCTTTATGTACTTTATGTTCTTTGAAAGAGGTAATATTTTTTTTATTGTTTTTAATATAATGGATATTAGTTCATCTGTAGCATGCGAGTGTCTATTGCAATTAGTTATAAAAATGCAGCATCTTGGTGTTTGCAATTCCCCCTGGAATCTAATCCTTTTGCATAGATTTTAGAGTATTGTGTTTTAGAGTTGCACTTGAAACTAGTAGTTAAGGAATGGCTAACTGTTTAGATTCTTTAATATATGGATGATGGAACGCTTAAAATCCTCTATGCTGCTTTTGTACTCTTAAATTTTCTGGTATCTCCGATTGCTGTTTCAAGTCTCTCTCGTCTTCTTTCCCCATTTGAACAATAGGAGTGTTGGTTTTTGTACTACAGGAAAACTAGCAAGGGTCAGCCAAATGTTCTTGAAATATTAGAGGTTTATGGTGACAAAGAATTCCCAAAGATTGGACTGCAGATTTCATTTCCGGACGCCCTCTTTCCATTTGTTTATATACAACAGGATGAGGTTTAGTTTTTTTTTTTACTAGTTTCATATGTAAAATAATGGTTCTTTTTTGTTGTGATTTTGAAATTTAAGATTCAAAGAAACTTCCTTTTATTTGCAGAGCAATTTTGGTTCCGAGAAAACTTACTTGCTTTATACCGTGACGGTTAATGGTGTTGCCTTCCTTGTAAAACTCAAAGGACTTCACAAATATGCTTCTTCCTCAGTTGTTGCATCCAATGAGGTTGTCGAGTATAATACACAAGCTAATCCACAATGCGGAGTCATAACAGCAGCAGCAGCTTCTTCCAGATGTCTCATAGTTGGGAGAAATGATGGATCTATTGGTTGTTTTCAACTTGGCTTGCTCGATGCTACAGCTCCAGGTGTACATCATGTGTCATTTTCCAGTTCTCTGCATAGCTGTATGGGCTACTTTCTCTAGGACTTAGTTCTTATATATGGAACCAAAAGTGCGAAAACTTGGATAAGGTTTCCCAAATGGATGAGATTCTCATGTTTGAGTGTGCATGGCAAAAGTTTGATCTTTCTGCTAATAATGCTGAGTATGGGTCTTCATTTTTCATCTCCTCTCAGACTTGACCTGTTTCTTAAACTTCTACCATCTTTTTAACTCTTCTGTTCAGGCTTCATGTGGGAGCTACGGGATGATGCTGGTTTTGGGCGATTGTGGGGTATAGTATCAAGGTACTGACTTTCTACACGAATTATGTTGTGCTATGGCAATTTTATCCGATTTTTTTTTTTTGTTGGTTTATTTATTTCTGCAGCGTGGTCTTAGAGTGTACTTACTTCAGAAACATTAGAGACATCTCATGCACCAATTGCCTTTTCTTTCCTTTGTTGATGTTACATGTGGTGTTCTTCTTGTTGATTCCTTATGGACAGAATGGTTAAACCTACCCCCTTCCCCTTTCTCTTTAGGCAGTCATTTCAAAATCCAGCAGTGCCTTTGACATTTTAAAAAGTAGCCATTGTTTCATTATGATTCTTTCTCACATGGAAAATCTAAAGGCACTAACTTTTCTGTTGAAATTTAATTTTATGTAATGGAGGCTTGAAAACATCCTTCTGGATTCTGCTTTTGAATATTGAGCTGGAACACCTTTTTCTGCAGGATCCACTATTAGATCCTCCATAAATTCTTTGTCACTTAAGTGCTTTTCTCTATTTCTTTGGGAGAAGATATGTTTGCATTTGGATTGAAAATTATCTGAAAAATTTTTTGGAAAAATTACTGTAGCACTTTTTGTGACATGATGTATGTGAGATAAAAAGGTGCTTGGGAAGGTGAAAAAGTAATTGAAAAATGTGTTTATGATGCAAACAAATAATGTTTTGCAAGAAATCACGGATCAGGTAGATAATTTACATTATCCTATTCCTGATGCATGTTTTCTAACCTATGTCACCTCAAGCAAATTCACCTTGCTCTTCCCCCCATGGTCCGATCTCAATGTTTGGAATCACATTAGTTTACTCCTGCTAAGAAAAACCGCTAAATCTCCTTTTAGTTATACTTGTGCAAGATCATCCATGCATTTATGGATTCTCTTTCCCCATGATTAGCAACAGGGAAGAAGATGGCATAATTGGCATTTCCTTTAAAATTATTCTTCTGATGCATCTATTGTTAGCAACAAGGAAGAAGATTCCTCAAATGACATTCCCTTTTCAAGCTATTCTATTGATGTCTGTTTGCTTGCCAATACATGCCGATTTGGGGGTAGGGAAGCTTTAGTTCCATGTAAACACCGTGCTCTTGTAATTCATTCTTATCTGTTTAAGATCAGCATGTTTAGGGTCACCATAACACACTGCTGGCACTAAGAGACAGAACTGTTAAATTGACTTTTTGTTGTCTCCTACACTGGATCCTGCATGCTTAGAATGATTAGGTATTCCCTGTGGTTTCCTGCCAAATTAATTTTGGTCTGATAGTTCTCTGAAGTGCACTCTCAGCTTCACTGAGTATTGGCATTCAACATGTAAGTAGCTGTCTATTTTGGATCTTTCACCTACTTTTGTGGCTTCTGCTTGTTAGATTCTTTTGTTTTTTATGACCAGAATGACTTGGAATTGGAGAAATTCGGTAAAACATTAATAGGCATCACATTCACCTTTAATCATCTTCGATAGTTAAAGTGTTGGAAGGCTGGGGGAAATGGCTAATAAATCTTTTGACAAATCTTATAGATATGGCCTTTAAAGTGGTAATCTTATATGAGAATGTGTTGCTTGTTACCTTATATTTTGCATGTATACAAGTGCAATATTATGAATATTTACCTTTTAAAAGTTTTCTTGGGATCTTACTGCTTAGCAATGTGCCTGAGCAAGAATATTGAAGTCTGAGCAAAATTCTCCCCGCAAGTTGGGTCACTCCGTCTTAGCCACTAATGTTTCACTTTCCCTCCCTCTTTCTCTTTCTCTTTCTCTTTCTCAATCTCTGTCTCTCTCCATCTCTTCCTTTGCCTCTCTATTCCAAAACCTTAGCAAGCATATAAACACACTTAGATTTAGTCAATGGTTTGTAATCTTTGACAGCTGTAGGCTGTTGGCAAGGACGGACCAAATGCCTCTGGGTTGTTTCTTGGTTGAATTGTTGAGAAACCTTCAAATTACTTATTTACAAGATAATAACACAACTGATAGGTTGTTGCAATTTGATTATTTTATATAAATCAGTTTTATTTTTAAGTTTGCATATTCAAAAAAATCCTAAATGGTCACAGGAGCAGGATTTCAGCTCCTGTGCAGGATTTGGCAGTTGTAGAGGTGCACCAGAGAAAGCTTATTTTTGTGCTTCATTCTGATGGGATCTTTCGAGCTTGGGACCTTGCAAACCGGAGCAAAATTTTCAGTCATGCTATTACTGTTCCAACAGTTACAGGTAAGTTTACAATCTTAACTTGTTATGTTGTATCAGCCGGTTGTTCTATCCATTTCTCTTAGATTATTCTACTAGCTGGATAACTTGTAAGCTTAGTGTATAAAGCATCAAGAGTTGTTCATCCATGAATTTTGTGAAAGTAATTTCCATGTAGCACTTCTCATTTGAAAGCAAAAGGAAGAGGACAAACATTAAGGAATGTCTTGAACTCAGTTTAAAGTGGTAAAAGCAGTTGATACGAACAAAAGGAAAGATTGCCATATTCCACATGGTTTAAAAGTAGAAAGACTGTGATCTTGCCTTGTAATTTTTTGACCTATAAATCTCACAAAATGCCTCCTTCCTACTCTTTGGTTCTCATTTTTTCTTCGCCCACAAATCTTCTGGATGAAGGCAGTTCATTCCTCACAAACTTCTGACACTAGGAAGCTAGATTTCAAAGTTGGATTTTATATTTTAATTTATCAACGGCAACAGTTACAGGAGGTTTAGGAATATGAACTTTGAAAAAGGCAAAACTACTCAAGGCTTTAGCAAGCTCTGGGTGCATGCTTTTCTAGTTTCTACCATGCATGCACATAAAAGTTGTTTATATCATCCACCTCCTTCTTAAGGCACCAAAGGTGGAAAAATAGAGTGAATTTAGGTTTAAATTTGAAATATGTTTGCAGAATTTTAGAGATTTTCCTTGGGTGAAGTCCTGATATATTGGTGACTTTCTCAGAATTGGGTTCTGACGCGGTTTTATGCCCATTTATTCACTTTGTAGATATTTATTTGTTATCTAATCTCTGATTTTCTTGTGATACTAATACTTCCATTTTTAGATTTTTGGAATGTTTTGTCATGTGAAACTTAATTTGTGTTTTGTCTTCAGGAACTATATTTCTCAAATTATGGGTGGGTGATGATAACAGGGCAATGAATATAATTCCGTTGGCAATTCTACATAAGAATAGTATGGTACGTAATTTTAGAATAATCAATATTACTTGTATTGTTTGCATGGTTTCATTTCTTGTGCTCTTCCCTTTCCTTTGGGTATGAACATCTGCATGGGCTATTGAATCAAGACCATGTCAAATGTTGCTTAGCCCAACAACATGCTTTTAGTTTATGGGGTATCAAGTGAACAAGTCTGATGAAATTATGCTCTAAATATATAACAGAAACATCTGCTGATTGCGGATGTCATTTATGTGCAAAATTGTGTGTTTCTATGACCTTACCTTATTGCTTTATGTGCACTCAAGTATATTTTCTACATTATTGTCATAACATGGAGAAAATTCTTTAACTCGAGTAATCCTTGGTGATTTTGTGATTAAACTTTGCTAAACAGGTTTTGAATTGGACCCATTTACTTTAAGCCATTTTAGTCAAGTTACATCGGTATCAGTAGTCACTAGTCTGTCTTGTGGTTAGAACAATGACTGAAGACCCTGGTTGCTTGCTTCTTCCTGTCATTCTTTTTATTCAGCCACTGAAGTACCTGGTTGTGGGCTGTGTATTTCGTTGATACTTGTTTTGATATCCTTATTGGTTGATGATATTGTGAGAGCTTATTATATATTCATAGAATCTCCCCTTTTAAAATTCTTTAATGATATACATTTGCTTTGCATTACTAAATGTTCAGGAAGTTGAGATGATATCTTTTTATGGCCTTAATTTGGGTTTTGGGGACAAGATGATTTTCACACTAGAACCTTTGATAACAGACATCACTCTAGAAGAGGTATGTGAGTTACCCTTGTTTAGGGTTCCCCGTCACTTTGTTATTCTCTAACTTAATGTTTCCAATTTTCTGTCTCCCTCTTGTACTCAATCAGGGTGGACCTGTTGATGTCATACTTACTTCAGACAAAGTTTGGATACTAAAAGAAGATGGATTGCTCATGCAGGAGCTATTCTGCCAAAAAGAGTAAGTTTTTAGATGCTGGGGAGTGATGTTTAACTGTTTACAGTTCTTTGTCTTTTTCCTTCCTGTGAGAGAAATTGATGAAACTTGATTGTGCCCCTTCACCCATTTCTTCATTGATCTTTTATAGCATTAAGTCTTCTTTGATATATGGTGTTCATTATGCTTGCGGATGATGTTTGAATTAACTGTTATATTTTTTTCTATCTTTTCTTCCTGTTAAAGGAATTGATGAAACTTCATTGTGTCCCTTTATTGGTTCCTTGGTTGACCTTTTATATCATGAAACCTTCCTTAGGCTTGATATGTAGCGAACCCTTCTACATATTACTTTGCTATTACAAGGCTGCTGCCACAGACTTGATATGTAGTTAAAGAAATATTATGAGAGAAACAGAAATATATAGAAGAAAGGATTCACTGATAAAAGTTTTTTATGTTATTGTTCCGCATTCTTCTGGCATGTGGTGCTTCATTTTCAAATTACGAAGTATAACTTCCTTCTCGAACTCCTTTTGTGTCTTTTTGCGATCTAACTCATACAATGCGCTGCACTCACTAGATATGATTTAGTTTTACTTAAGCTTGGACCTTTTTCTATTGACACTCGTAAATCTGGAAAATTGTACCACTTCAAATGTGGTTGTGATTACATTGATGCGTAGAAACTTGCTGTCATTTCAGTACATTTGTTACTTTTCCTTTAGCATTCAGATGCTCATTTCTATGTGAAGTGTGATTTTGCAACTTTCATGATTTTAGGGCAGTCACACATTCATACGGCTTGCAAGAAGCATTTGTAGCTGATCAGCTGTTTCAGAGTTCTGAACATTTTGCAGATGAAATCCTTTGGCTAGCCCATACAGTTTTTTCATCTTCAAAGGTGCTTTAAAATAATGGCTTTCTGGATATAGTTCTGCTGATCTGCTTGACCGTGTCATTGATCAATGAATGAACTTCTGGCAATTTTATGAGATAGCTTTAGAGAAATTTGTATCTGTTCTAGTTGTGGATCTATGTAATTATATGTATCTGAATCTCCTCGTATATGGTTATATATACATATATATATATATATATATCTGGATATAGTTCTGCTGATCTGCTTGACCGTGTCATTGATCAATGAATGAACTTCTGGCAATTTTATGAGATAGCTTTAGAAAAATTTGTATCTGTTCTAGTTGTGGATCTATGTAATTATACGTATCTGAATCTTCTCATATATGGTTATATATATAGTTGTAGACATTCTCATTTGTCATGATATGCATATCTATACTTTCCAAATCAAACATAGATTAAGTCTTGTGCCGTCTACAACACGCTTTATGTTTGGGTCATTAGAACATCTTAAAGGACTAAGACCTTGTATATGAAGAGAACCCATTGAAAAATTTGACGCAACAAAGGAAAAAGAGTCCCTAAAGGTATTAGTTATGGAAACACAGATGTTGCTTGCAAATTTATTGGTGATATATATGACATATTTGTTGACAAGTTGTAGACAATTAGAAGGTATAGTTTTAGATTATTAGAGCAAGGGTTGTACTTCACAAATTGAAAGGGTTTTGGGTTCTACCGGTTTCACAAGTTCTATAAATTGGGTTGTAGTCCCCTTTATTGAATCTTGTGATGATTCAGTGTTCTGCAGTTCCTCCATTCAAATGAATATGAGCTTGTAGCCATTGGCAATTGCTGTTTTATTATTCTCTTTGCATTGAAGTTTTCAGTAGAGTGAAATATTTTTGTCATTTTCCGAGCTTGTTATTCAGATTGTGGAGGTTAAATATATCTGTTGAGGTCATTAATGAGTTACATTACAATTTGAGGTCATATTGGTTCCAACTATAGTGCCAGTGGTTTTCTTTTCTTTTACATGGTAAAAAAAAAAAAATTGAATGAAGAGATACTTTGTCATGAGTTGGTTAAATTGGAATTTGAGAATTTGCAAATGGTCAGTGCAGTAGTCATGTGTGTGTGTGTGTGTGTATGTTTTTTTTTTTTTGTGGAAACGATTATACAGATCTTTAAGAAGTAAATTCCTCTCATCAGCTTTCAGCTTTATTCCACTGAATTTAGGAACCTTGCATTCTATAGTTTGACTTGATTAGATGTTTGCAATATATGATTTTCTGCCCTTTTCTTTGAGAAAAAGAATTTTTTTTTGTCTTTGAAAGAGATGTAACTCTTGGTGACATTATCCTACATAGCTTGAACCTGGGTGCAGGAATTAAAAAAAAAAAATGTTTCCAACTGTTCGAAGAGCAGGGACCAGCACTGATGGAGAAGGATGCCTGAGATGCCAAATGTTATATTTTTTACACAGAAAACATATTCAAAAGGGAACTTACAATACGAGCACAAGATACTCACAGCAATAACTCTACCAATCGAGGGCATACTCCAGAATCTATGACAGCTTGGATTTTATCATTTGTCCCATCAGAAAGATAGGAGAGTGCCCAACACGCATCAGTCAAAACTTCTTCATCACTTGAATGCACAAGCTGCTGAAGAACTGGAAGAGCTGGTCTTGTCTGCAAATTGTGCTGTTAGTATCACAAAATACGTGCCCTTACGTACATTATACCTAAGACATGGTTATTTCCTCTAAAAAAAGATGGTATTTTGTAGGAATAATGGCAGTAGTAATAATCTCATCAACTTTATAAGTTGTAATAGGTGACAACTCCTTAATGTGTCATAGTACAAGAACGTAGCAACATGGACAAGGGGAGTGTCAAAGCAATTTCTTATGGGGACATGCAGCCTACTCTGCATCCACTACAGACAAAATTAGCTTTGAAAGAGCTAAGCATGCACGTTATCATGTAGAATTGAAAGAGCTGTGAGATGAACAAACATTCAAGGTGAAAGAACTACCTGATCAAATGAAGGCTGAGGCTTGCCTCTGCAGAAATTAGATAATGTCCAGGTGGCATTTCGCAACATTGATAGCTTTGCATGCTCATTTAGCTGAGCCAGCAAAGGACCCAGAGCTCCATGACCAAGAACAAGATCACGGCATTTTGGGGAATCACCAGCCACATTTCCCAGAGCCCATACAGCCTAAATGTAGTTCAAAGAAAAATAAGAAATAAAATATAAATAACAACAAAATTCAATTATATCATGCAACACTCAAAATCCATAAAATAATGCAAGGCATTGAACTTGATTACAAACACCAGAAGAGGAGATTTCATCATTTGTAAAAGATATACCTGTTCGCGGACATCATCGCTGGGAGAACTAAGAAGCTGTACAAATATGGGAACAGCCCCATGGTCTATAACAACCTTAGTGTGCTCAGATGTCCCAGAAGCAATGTTTGTGAGGGCCCAAGCTGCCTCAAACTACAAATTTGCAAAGGATGGAAGAAAATATTTATATGTCACACCAAACTAATCTAATCTTCACTGTGTATACAGAATGGGGAATAACGATCTTGAACCTGAAGTTGGGGAAAATCCTCCCTCATAAGAAACTGAACAAAGCGAGGGACAACGCCAGCTTGAATCACTTCCTGAATTGGCGGACTTCGTTCTGGTATAAGCATTAACATCAACACCGGAACATAGGAATCAAATATGGAACAAAAAATGATGATAGCAATAGTCTAAAGAAGCATCCAAACCTATGGAAAGCAATTTCCTGAATTGAGTGGTTGCCTCAAGTTGTAGACTGCCATCATCTGTCCAAACACCAGCAACCATTGCTTGTAGATTTTCTAGCTGCAACCAAAACCCATAACCATTCCAAGCATTAGAGTTACATGCTCAACATATTTTCCAATTCAATATAAAAAAGTTCAAAGTAACAAAACTTAATCAAACGCATAGAAGCGAAAAAAAAAAAACTTCACACCTGTAATCAACATATGCAATTAAAAGCTTTAAACACAACAAATTCGAACAAAAAAGCTATGACAACTACTTGTTGAAGTCAAACAAGCCCATCAAGTTTCAAAATTTCCATCAAAGTTTATTTTTTATAAAATTCGAACTATGGTCTGATGGTTAAATTATTTAAGCTTTCCGAAATCTCCCGTTGCCGAAAAAGGCTGAAATGCAAGCCCTAGCCCTATTCAAACACAACAAAACTAAAAATATTGCGGGTATCCAGCCCATAAACAACACAATCGCAAATTTGAATTCGATCACAACCCTAGTTAAAACCATCTGCAACAACTTCAAAGAAACAAAATCGAAATTCTAATTTATTTACACCTTTTTTTCGACAGAAGAGGTATCCGATTGAACAACAAATGCATTTTGCAGGCCTTCGCGGCGCTTCTTCTGCAAGCTTTCTTCTCTGCGGTTCTTTCGAATCTCGACCATGTTGTCTTCCCTCCTCCGGCGGCCTTCTTCGGCGTCCACCGCCACTTTGTAGCGGCCGCGACGGAGTTCAGCTCTGGAGCCTGGTCTCAACGACATCGTTTGAGTAACTTAATTGGACGAAACCCTAATTCTGGCAAAAATCTGGGTTTTGGGATAGTGGATAGAAATTTGAATGAAAGACGAGAGAGAGATGAAAAGGGGACTTAAATAGGGTTTACGACGACTGAGGAGAGGCGTGGTGTATCGAAAAAGGGCATGGATCAGGAGGTATTTACGATTATGGGTCAGAAATTTGAATTTGAAGATGTGGGAAACCCGTATGTGAACGTTGGAGGATCCATCTTTTAAAATTGGGTTAAAACATCACACTATTCATTACTACTCCCTCCGTCCCACATTGATAGTCCTGTTTCTTTTTTCACACAGTTTAAGAAAAAGTAGTTAACTTTGTTGGAAAAGTAAATTTAGATTGCTATTTTTCTAAAATACCCTCACATTAAATAGAGTACAACTTTATGGGAACTTGAATTGATGGTAAAAAAAGAATCAACTCTCATTAAATGGGGTAGGTTTATAGCAACAACAACTTGTATTGAATAAGGGTATTTTAGGAAAATGAAAATACAACTACATTCTTCAATTGGAAAGTGGACTGCAATTTGGGACAGACAAAAAAGGAAAACAGGACTATTAAAGTGGGACGGAGGGAGTATTATTTAACCAAGCAAGAGTCAAACCATGGATTTCTTTTTGTTTTTCATTTTTTTTATTCTTTGGAGGGATCAAGGGTAGGGGATAACGCAAAATGGGAAGGTAATTGTTGGCATTTAAGTTTCAATTTTACTTGTAAGAAAATTTTATACTATTTAAATTTTGGATTTCAATTTAATTGTTGGATTGCTATTTTTTTTTTTTTTTGGGAGGTTGGGGCTTTGAAGTATTGGATGTATGTGTAATTTACACCATCAATTTTCTTGACCAATAGCAACTGTTCATGCCCTAACATGTAGATTCGACTTTCCTAATTGAGATCTGGAAGTAGAAGTTGAGCTGCATATGCAATAAAGTGGGTGACATTTCCAAATGCATCCTTAGTAAGGATTAAGGAAGAGGGAAGTACCAAGGAGAGCAACTGATTATTAACACAAGGGTTCGTTTTTTTTTTTTACAAGTGTCGAGCATGCACTCGTTAACACACTTAAATTTCATCTAATATATCGTGTAAATAAATATATAGACATATTAATAATTACCATACTCCATTACATGTAATATACTTTCCTTAATTAATCTTATCTGTCTAAAAATTTAATACAAGCGTAAAATTCACCCCTCTGACTTCATAGAAAACCTGCATTAATTAAGTCAATGTAAATCTTGGAGCTTTTGGTTGATAACAATCGTACAAGAAGGGCGAATAAATCTAGGAATTCATTAATAAGACGACTTTTTGCTTATATTTTGCAATGAACACACAATACTACTATTATCGTAAGTGTTAACCTTGTTTTAATGGCAATGACAATTTTTAGACTACGATAATGGCCTTGTTTGGAACCCAAGTTTTTTGCTAAGATTATCTGTCACAAGTTTTTTAAAAACTTTAGCTTCAGTAATCTCAAAAAAATTTTTAAAATTTTTAAACTATACACTTCAAAATACTCAAAAATCTATACATTTCAAAAATTTTTAAAAAAACTTTTATAGTAAGGTACAGTAAAATTTTAGACAAACTCTCAAAAAACTCACATTCCAAACAGGGCTTTTGTTGCTATAGAAAACCGGGTATTAATAAGCAATTGAGTTAACTATTTTTTTGAAAAAATACTATAGTAATTTTTTGATGCAATGTATGCAAAATAAAAAGATAATTGAAAAATATATTGATAATACAAGCAAATAAACTAAATCAATAGTTGACTAGCTAGATATTGTCTAAAGTTTTGATCATTCAATCTCTTGATTATCTCCCATAACCAGTATTTAATAGCCAAAGCTATTACTTTTCAAAAAGATAAAACACAACAAAAACCCAAGTCATTGTTCAAACATGTCATTTTATACTCGGAAATATACTTTGACCCGTGCATTTTGGTTAAATTTGTGGTTTTGACTAGAAAAGTTGTTCGAACATGTAATATTATTATTATACATCAAGTTCATTTTTCATACTTATTAGGTACCCACTATTTGAGTTCTATATTGTTTGGATTGTTATTTTTAGAAATTTATATAAAAAAATACTATAATTATTTGACATATATAAGGCAAAAAGATGATTAGAAAATATGTTCACGGAAACGTAAAAAATTTTTTTACAAAAAAACACAATCCAAACAAGGAGTTTTACCTTGCTCATTTTGAAAGAGCAAAAGTTGGCTTAAATAATTAATGCAAAAATTTTTTCAAATAATCTTCTATCCAAAAACAATCATTATCTCCTTCATCAAACAAAAAAAAAATTTTTTTTGGAACAGAACAAATGTCTATTACATGCAATTGGTCTACATTGGCTCATGAACATATTGGCAGTTTCTTGGAAGCTTTGTCTTGAATTTGTTAAATATGCTGTTTTGCATAAACTCCCGTATTAAGTAATTATTGTAGATCTCATCCACCAACAATCTCCTTCAAATTGAGCTGTATTCTGATATTTGCAGAAACAAAGTAGTAATGATAGGAATAATTAGACAATAAACATGTGATTCCCTGGCATGCATTAGATCAGGGAAAGGAATAAAGTGGAAGAAAAGGTTATAAAACTGCGTGCTTGCATATGACATTGGGCCTGTTTGGCACCCTAGTTTTTTACCAAGTTTTTTAGCTACTAGTTTTTTAACAATTTTTTGTTACAGGAACCCCAAAAAAACTTTTCAGAGTTTTTTACTTACACACTTAAAAAATACACAAAAAATTTCTCAAAAACTTTTCTTCCTCCCCACCCAACCACCACACCACCTCTCCCTATGCCGGTCACCTATTCCGGTGCCGGTAACCTCAAAAAAAATTTTTCTGTCCATCACCCTCGCCCTCTCTCGTCTTCCCTTCTCCCTTCCCCGCCACCCTCCCTTTCCTGCTATGTGCGATCTGGTCGGGCGACCAGATCGTAGAGCAGAGAGGAAGAGGGTGGCGGAAGAGGGAGAGGGGAAGAAGGGAGGGAAAAAGCTAAAAAAAAAAATAATGCACAGCTGCCGGCCAGATCGCATGAGAGGGAAGGGGAATGGGAAGGGCGGCGGGGAAGGGAAAACTGAGAGGGAAGAGTCCCGACTAGATCACGTCGGGGGAGAGAGAGGGTGGTTGGGGAGGGGAGGAAAGGGGAGGGGAGGGGCGGCGGGGGAAGGAAGGGGAAGGGGAGGGTCCGGACCAGATCGCGTCGAGGAAGAAGGAAGGAGAGGGGAGAGGAGGGGAGGGACGGCGAGGGAGGGAGAGGGCTGGGGAGGGAAAGAGAGGGAAAGAGGGAGGGGTGGCGGGGAGGGAGAAGGGAATAGAAAAAAAGCAAAAAAAAAAAAATCACCTGGAAGTCTTTGCCATGGAAGTCTTGGAGAGGGAACAGGGGAGGGAAGGGAGTGGGAGAAGGGGAAGAAAGGGAGGAAGGAAAAGAAAAAAGAAAGAAAAAAAAAAAAAAGAAAAGGAAAAAAATTTCATCTTACAAACACCCAAAAATTTTTCTTACAAAAGTTTTTCTACAACTTCTACAGTGATTTACAGTAAAGTTTTATACATACACCCAAAAAACTTACCTTCCAAACAGGCCTAATATGAATTTGACAGACTTCTGTTCACAGATTTTCTCTTTCTTGTCCTTTTGCATGGATCAATCTAATAGGTAACCGCTAATCAATAATCATTGAACAACTTAAAGGTGGAAACCAGCGTTTGCCCGAATATTTCTCAAACTTCAGGTTTTCTAACTTCCAAGGAAAAAATCACCCACCTAAGTGGGTGGGATGGGACATCTAAGTGGTGATTTCTAAAAAAATGCTACATTTAAGTGGTTTGTTTCTAAAAAATTCAAGTGGGTGTGTTGTGCACCCATCTGGTCCAGTGGTGGTTTAGTCCCCTCCGAGTTACCCCTGAACCTCCTTAGATCCGTCCCCTCTCCCTTAACGTAGGATAGAATAGGTTTATTGTCTCCGAAAAAAAACTTTCAAGGAAAAAGGTCAAAAAAAAATAAAGAAAAGTGAATCCATTGGTTTTTGGAGTTGATGAAACTAGCTTCCACTAATTTATGCCGTATTGTCAATGTTCATTGTGCTATGTAAGGTGAATCATTCAATCTGAATAATTTGTCTTTGACTATTTGACATGTCAGTACAAAGGAATCATTGTAAATTGTAATTATTTGGTAGATATTTAATGTACTTTGGAAAAAAGTCTTCTTAGTTGTCAAACTGAGTGTCATATTAGGGATGAGGATCAGGTGATTGGTCAGTTTCAGCATTGATTCAACGAGTTCAATAGAACTCTTGAAAAGAAGAATTAATAATGAATGTGATGTGCAAGGATGAAGGCGCCTGAGGTAAAATGTATATATACTGGTTTCAGAGTTTGTTGTCTTAAAGCCACTTTGTTTTGTATCACTATGGGTTGGAATGAGCAAGGTCAGAACCCAGAAACTTGTTGGGAGAAATCAGATGTGAATTGAAACAACTTTTTTAAGAAATTAGGCATCCAGAAACTTTTTGAGGGGAACAGAAAAAAGCCAAACCATTCTCATACTTATTCAATGGATTTGAAGATGGTATTCAGACTTACTTAATTAGGTTCATAGAATCGAAGGATTCTGTGTTCCATATAGGAACTTGACAGGGAAAAAGAAGTTTCTTGAAATCAGAGTATGCTCGTCAAGCTGAAGCATTGACTGTTGGGGACACGACAACTGGACTCTTCACAAAGTATCTGCCTTCAGCATCAGCCCATCGAATCGAACCAAAAGTAGCCCTTCCATTTTTGTCGCCTGCATCGCGGATGGTTAGGCTACAACTTTTCTTCTCATATATCCCTTTAAAACTCAAAATCTACTGGTTTACTTCAACAACAGAACCACTCGGAGCTGTCACTATTGCGTGCATTATAAGTTGAAGCACTATATCCAACATTTGTGACTGTCCTTTTGAATATCTTGGCTAACGTGCCTATACTTTCATTATTGTACAATGCAATAAAGGATGAATAATTTA